GACCCCGCTAATCGGCCTTTAATGACACCCCTGCAAGCGGCACAACCCCCTGACCTGCCACCTGACCCGAACACGACACCCACACCCAACCCACCCCAAACCCCCACTTCCCAACACCCCCCCATCTACACCCCCCTCCCCCAACTCACCGCTGAGTACCCCCCAAATCACCCCCGTGTCCACGAGAACCCCTTCTTTGTCAAACGCAGGCAAGTGCGAAACTTCACACTTGCCTATGTTTGACAAGGAAGGGGTATGCGTGGAGACGGTGGTGATGGCCGAACATTAAAAGATAAATTCAACAATTTACAAAGAAACAAAAAGAAAACAATCACCCAACTCTGCAGGCAAAAAAAACAAAGAAACAAATGAAATAAATGAAATTAAAAATGTAAACAACAATTAAAGATATAAATTCACACGCTGATAAAAATGGACACAAAACATCGTGCAGCACTCGTAACTGAAATCATACATGGAACATGTAATGGACATGAAAAGCAGTGAAGTACCAGTCACTGAAATCACACATGAAAAATGTAACATAATACAATGAATCCTACTAGTGCCACATACTGACTAATAGAAAAGCAGTATTGTACAAGTCGCCGGTGCCGACCCACTCTACTACGACTAACGCTACTGTACAGACGCCCTACTCATACCAGAATCAGACACACTAAAAACGAAGAAAACAACTACAACTGCGGCACACACACTACCTGACTACCAGTGACTACCTGACAACAATGAGATAAGACAACACGACCGAAAAAACAGGAGCACAGAATACGACGAAGTCGCGTGCGAGTAGGGGAAAGAGGACTGCTGGCCTCATGGTCGTCAACCCCTCTTCCCCTTCCCGCTATGCCTCCTCGTAACCCCCCGAGTGCCGGATGTCGACCTCCCCTTCCCTTGTGCGGATGACGATGTCAGCGCAGAAGAACGTCTCGAAGCACGCATCGGTGGGGGGGGGGGGGGGCTCATCCTCGTCGTCGTCGTCATCGCTGTCGGCGCTCTCTCTCTCCTCCTCTCCTCTCTTATACACATCTAGATGTGTATAAGAGACAGAGTTTGAGCAGCGCGCCGTCTGGCTGCACGCATCGGTGGAAGAGGTGGGGGCTCGTGCTGGGCGTCGTCGTAGTCACCATCGGAACCTCTCTCACTCTCCTCCTCTCCCTCCTCCTCACCCTCATAGTCCTCGTCATCCTCCCGCACAGCCGGTGTCGTCTCAGGATCATCCTCCTCAATGGTGACAGGGCCGCCTCCCTTCCTCACCAGAACAACCCTCGCACTAGCCTGTGCAACTGTTCGCTGACGGCGGGATCCATGAGGTATCCCCAACCCCGCTGCCCCCGAAGACTCTCCAAGTACAGCGCCTCCCTGTGCAGGCACGGTGCGTGGATGAGGCACTCCATGCTTGCATGGAGTCTGCTCATGCACAACACGCGTCGATGCTCTCACGGCGTGGTCGAAGGTCGAGGTGGACTCTCCTCCACCTCGACCTCGCTGAGGCTCACAACATGCTGCTGCAACCTCCCTCGCTGCGGTCGTCCTGGCACCGCGGTGACCCAACCCCGACTGAAGGCGAGCAACGCGCTCAGTGACACGACGGGTGGAATCCAACTCTATGTCTGTCCTCCCGTACAACGCCGTGGCGCCCACATTGCGCCCAACCGCTGTAGTGTCACGAACCCTCGATCTCCCAGGCGTGTGTGGGGATGGAGTGCCTCGGGCTGTGGGCGACAACGATGGATCACCCTCACGTGGTCTAGGAGGAGGGGGTGGCATGTCTTCCGTACCTGGCGCTCTCTCCTACAGGCCCCCTGAAACCCCTGGAACATCTGCCTTGCTGGGCCCTCTGCTGGAGGTGGACCCGGACCACACCAGCGACGCAGGGCCCCATGGAACCGAAGGAATCCTTTGCCAATTGGGGTGGTTGAGTTTCAGGTTAAATACCCGCCGGTCCAGTCGAGTCACATCACGCACAGCGGCCGCTGCCAACTCCTTGGCATCCAATGGATAATCGACCTCCTGCGGAGCCGGCCGCCGAGGACGTGGACGCACAACCATCGGTGCGGACCCCAAATCCTCGATGACAACAGGTGGCACATCATGCATTGCCACCTCAGTCGGCTGCGACCGTCGGACCTTGACCAAGTGCAGGCCCGAGAACTGGACGACTGGACCCGTTTGTGTCTCATGACCTGCCGCCGGTGCGTCTCCAGGCCCCCCGTCTCGCCCCTCTCCACCCTCCATAGCCTCATCCACTGTCTGTGGCCCACCCTCCATACCCTCCTCCGCCTCTTCTGCCACAACCTCCATAGCGTCCTCCCCCACCACTACCCCACCTTGCCCACCATATCTCCTCCATGATGTCGCGTGCTGCATCTGGAGACTCTGTAGCCGTCCTGTCTCTCGGGGTTTGCGTCCACGTCTCGCCTGCAGCCTCGTTCCACGATGGCACCGATCCGTCTATGTCGACCCGCCGCAACTAGGGGGAAGGCCCATCGACATATCAAAGTCGAAGTGGGTCCCCATCTCCGTATCCGACATCCCCAACCCCCTCGCCACACCCGAGGTGATACCCGCCACGACCGGATCGAGCTCCTTCGTGATGAACTGCTGCATGAGGCGCTCCTCGACGACCTCACCGCCCTCAACGTCGTCCGCGCCATCACGCTGCTGCTGCTGCTGCTATCTCCTCCTTCGCTGCTGCTATCCCCCCCTCCACTGCTGCATGAGGAGCTCCTCGACGACCTCACCCGCGCCGCTGCTGCTATCTCCTCCTTCGCTGCTGCCACCTCCCCCTCCACTGCTGCTGCTGATGGTACCTCCTCCTCCGCTGCTGCTGCTCCTCCTACTCCCCCCCCCTCCACTGCTGCTGCTGCTGCTACTACATCCCCCTCCGCTGCTGCCACCTCCCCCTCCACAAGTGTTGCTTATGGTACCCCCTCCTCCTGCAAGATCCTCGGGGAAGGTGATCGTAACCTCGGTTGGCGGATCACCCCAGATCTCTGCAGAAGTCCGTGCTGAGGCAAGGAGGATGCCAACTCCTTCGTGTCCGCCGCTGCCGTGGCCGGCTCATGTGCCGAGACAGGTGATGGTGGTGCAGGACTCAGAGTCGGAGGTGGCGGCATGGACTACTCTCGCGTCATCGGAGCAGGAGTCATCATCCACGCCTCTCTCCGGCTCGTGCCTGCATGCGAGCCCCTGGCTCTGTCATCGCGCGCATCACCCGTGGAAGCCACCTCCCCGAAAGGGCCCTAAAAATCATCGTCTCCGTCCAGCATCTCCCTGTCTGCCCGGTCCGCCGCCCATCGTGCGGTGTGTGTCCTCGTCTCCTCGTCGTCCAGATCCTCGTGCGTCTCATCGATCTCGTGGGGAATGCGGAGTGCGGGGTCATCTGCTGCCTCGGGTATCGGCTCCTCACTCGAGTCATCCTCCCTGGGGTAGGGACGGAAAATGCAAGCACGTCTACCAAAAACGGCATCAGCAGCGGGTGGTGTGGAAGCCCCGATGGGGTCGCGCGTAATAAGTGCAACCTGCTGGACAATCTCCTCCTGCGTCATCCCCTTATGCGTGCCCGTGTGCACCGGCTCCATCTCGAGTCCTGCTTGGCAGTCGAGCATGCCCTCGTCCTGATGCCATGGCAGCACATAACCACATCTTGCCCGCCGATACTCTGTCAACCGCACATTTGTTGTGATGTCAACTTGTTGCATGACCTTCTCGAAGGCCAACTGCTTGCGCTTCTTCGTGTGGATGCCCTCGTGGACTGCCCAGTTCCTCTCCGCTGAAGATGTGCATCACACGAAGAGCGCACCGCTGCAACTCAGTTGCACCAGCCCCGAACTGGGACCACCAAGACGCACACTCGATCTTCTTGGCGTCACTGCTAAATGCGCACACACGAGCACGCCCCTTCGCCCCGCCCCAATCGCCAAACCTGCCCTGCTGCATGTGGAAGTCCTCAAACTGACGACATGCAACGATGCAATCCGCACCGTCTAACTGGAAACCCGTGTGCGTCAGAATGTACTTCTTGGCTTGCCTCACAAGCCAAGCATGGTAACTTTCCACCTCGCCTAAAAAGTACTGAACATTTCGCCTGCGGGGGTTCAGTAAGAACCCAGCGCAGTGAGTCAGCTCAAGCATGTGCTGTGTGCGGGCCTGCACACGCCTGATGATCCGGTCAGCGAAGGACTACCCCAAAGGAGTGCATGTGTCCGTCACACGGTGGACAAGATCCTGTGTCCACTCGATCATGAGTGACATGAACTGTCCTCCACGATCCATCCACCTGAGCAACTGCATGACGGGCTCCATGATATGGACGATGGTGGCCACCCTCTGCCACCAAGGATCCCATTTGATCTGCCGGCGCACCCAACGCGCCATGATGCACACATCGGCGGACCACGGGATGGAAGCAAAAGCCCGCGAGTCGTCCCTTGGAATCGTGTCCTGCAAAGTGTCCTGCAGAGGCAGCAGCCTCTCCAGCATGGAATAAACAGACGTGAACTGCATCTCGCCGGAAAGAACAAGCCCCTTGTCGGGGCGGCACTTCCTAAAAAAAATGAAGGGCGGTCTGGTGGGTTTTGAAAAACACCACCAGCACACGAGCGCGTGTGATCGTGTCCACAAACGCGTCGCAACTGGTCCCCATGTCTGACAACAATTTGTTGCAGGCATGGACAGAGCACGGGAGCCAAGTGTTCCTCCTCAATGCAAGAGGCATGGTTGGCGAGGCCATTTCCTTGCAACCCCCACATACGCTGAAGCAGAGTCAGTGCATATCGCATTGACCCGCTGCGGCGCACCGAACCTGAACTCGTGGAAGATGGTAAGCCATCTCCGAAAGACGTGCTCTGCATCGTCCGACTCGCCCTCTCGATTGATCATCATGTACATGACGACCTCTGGCGAGCCTGCGACAAGGAAATCCACGATCGGTCTCCCGTCTCGTGATTTCCTCCCGTCAGAAAGGATGGTGGCACCAGTCACCTAGAATGGTTGCCTCACCTCCTCCAACTCCTTGGCCAACTCCGCACGGTGGGTCTCCACCGCCCGCATACTCGCAATCTCGATGTGGCTGGGGAGCACAATGCGTGGGGAACTGCCAGGCTTCTCAAGAAGCACCTGTTGATATGCCTTCCATGCTTGGTTGCGGAAGGCAAGGAGACCCCGTTGGAATAAAGCCAGCGAAGGAGGGCCTTCTTGTGGCGAGCAACCCACTCGCCACCGTAGACCTCTATCACCTTCTGCTGACGAAGCCTCTTTCCAGCTTGGGTGGCAGCCGGATCAGCTCCTCCTTCCTTCCTCTTTGAAGGACTCTGCCCCCTCGTACCCTCCCTTGCAGACACCTGTTCCGTGCCTGCTCGCCGCACAAAGTCCACCATCCTCTCCCCTGTCGCAGGATGAACCTCGGGCACGTCCTCGTGTCCCGGGAACCTCGCCCGGGCCACGCGCCTTCCAATCGCAGTGGATCACGCCCTCCTCCGTGTCACCGCCTCCACCCCCCAATGGGCGGTTGGGCACACCCTGCCCACCATCTCCCCCGGCCCCTATCTCCACCAGATGCTGCCCCACCTCTCCTCCCCTTGCACCACCGCCCCGGGGCACATCGAGTTCACGCTCCGCTGCGTACCTGCCAACCCTCGCCATCTGATCAGACTCGAACTTTTGTTGAGTCCATCGTGCGATCTCGTACAACGCCTCGTCGTTGACGTCCTTGCAGTGGTTCATCTGGACGAAGTGCCTCGTGGCCTGGTACCAAGTCCCCTGGAATACTTCGTTGCAAAACGTGCAACACAGCATCATCACCCCCTTGTTGTCGACCTTCTCGCCGACGACAAGGTACCGATACACAGGGGAGTGGCCCCTGAATGTTTCCTGCACATGATCCGCGGTGGGCTCATGCTGGCGCCGCTGTGTCGTCCCCATGGCGACCGCCCTCTACCCTGCTCCGAAGCGTCGAGGCCTCGCAACTGCAGCCCCCCCCCCCCCCCCCCCCCCCCCCCCCCCCCCCCCCCCCCCCCCCCCCCCCCCCCCCCCCCCCCCCTCACCTCAAACCACCCTCGCCCCCCCCCCCCCGTCGCCTGCTGCCCGCTGTCTGTCTCCCCTCCCCCCACCCCACTTCACAGAACCGGCCCCCACAACTGCCACACACCGTGAAACGGCCTGCCACATGCGTTCAATCGCGTTCAATCACGTTCAATCGCGTTGAATCGCGTTGAATCGCGTTGAACGCCGTTGAACGCCGTTGAATTAAAAATTCAACGGCGTTCTTCTGCGCCGTGCGTGCGGATCCGCCACCGTCGTCGACCGTGCTCCGCTGCTGCTCCCGCTCCGATGCCGCTCCCGCTCTGCTCCGCTCCAGCCACCATTTCCGCTGCTCCGCCTCTCTGCTCTCTCTCTCTCTCTCTCTCTCTCTCTCTCTCTCTCTCTCTCTCTC